ATTCTGGGAGTTGAAGTCCTTCATTCTTAACATTGCCAAGTTGGGAGCCCCCTGCGTTTGAACAGGTGGGGTGGGTTTCAACTCCTAGCATTCCCCCAGCCAGCCATGAAGTTGCCATCCACCCGTCATCAAGGTTGAGAAACGCCGCATTACAATACGACAAAAGAACCAGTTGCATGAAAGTAATGATGGGGGAGAGCTGAATCCTGGCTTTTTTTTATAAAGGTACCAAAAAAAAAAGAAGTCACAACTTCCTGTCTGAATGCAAAATTATTCATGAACTAGCTCGATACCTGTGTTTCGCTACGAAACTATGTGATCGGGTTTAGTTTTGAGGGTGGAAAATAAGGTGGCGAAATTGTGCCTCTACCTACTGGCATCCATCGGTATTCGTCTGGCTAGCCTCCTGTCAGTGCGTGAGAGAGTTGAGGGCTGTTTGGAAACTGAAACAGTATTTGCTGTGTGAGCAAGAAGGAGACAACAAGGAGCCTGGGTGTGGCTTAGCTCAACTGTTCCATATTCAAGCTGGTTGCTGCTTTGAAACTGAAACTCCTCTGCTTGTGTTTTGCATTTGGAACAGATTTCTTTTCAGGTGGGGAGGAGGAGTAGAACTCCTTAGCATCAGAGCGTGTTAATAATAATAATATAGGAAATACTAATGCTCTGATGGTCATTTCGAAAAATCCTTTCTTAGCAAGCCCCTAGAAGCCAAGAGGAACATACGTGCCAGATTTCAAGTTTGCAGACTTTACGGTTCTGGAGATGTTGTGATTGATTTTTGTGATTGCCAGCTGCTTCAGAACCTGGGGGTGGGGGTGGGGGGATAATCCATCTGGTCCTGATGATTTGAATTCTCCTAGAGTGGATAGGTATTCTTTTACCCTTTTCTTGCTTATTTTGACTTTCATTCCTAATCTGCATTTTACAGTTTGTTTGTTTTTTGATAGGTTGGACTGTTCTTTCCTTTTTTGTAAAAACAGATGCAGAAAGATGAGTTAAGGGGTTCTGCTTTCTCCCTACTGCTTGTCATCTTCTTGCCATTTTCTCCCCTTAATGGACCAATCGTTTCAATGGTTTGTTTGCTTGTTTACGTGTTGAAAGAAGCTTTTGTTTTGGGATTGTTTTCGATTTTAGTTCAATTTGAGCCTTTGCTTTCTTGACTTCATCTCTACAGATTTGGGTTATCTGCTGATAGTCTGGCCCTCTTTCCACTTTTTGTACTTGTCCTTTTTGTCTTTTCATTTATCAAAGCGTTTTTATGCAGCCAGGCTGGTTTCTTTTGAAGAGGAGTTGTTTTTCTTCTTCATTGGTATTGTGCTAGACTTGGCTTTTATACTCCGACATTTCAAAGTTTCCAAAGCTTCTGAGGTTGTTTTCCCCTTGAGAATCCTTCTCAACCTAGGTTTATTGAATTCAGTTCTATAAAAATCCAAAACTCTAGTTTGACTTTGTTCTATGCTTGTGCTTCCATAATGTTGAATTCCAGTGTTGAATGATCATTCCCCCTCACCCGCCAAGGTTTCTATAACTTCAACATCTATCATTTCATCTCTTGTTAGTCAGAATTAAGTCCAGTATGGCTGACCTTCCAGCTCCTTTCTCTATCTTTAGGGAGTCAAAGGCATCTGGTAGATTTGTCAGGAATTTGTTTGATCTTCCACTAGATGCAAAGTTTGTCTCCCAGTTGATGTCAGGGGAGTTAAAGTCCCCCATTACTATTGTGGTGTGCTTCCTGCATGCTTTAGTTAACCGACTAGCAAAAAAATTAAATCTATTTCCTCTGTTTGGTTAGGTGACCTATAATATACACCTATTGCAATGTCATTCAAATGCATTCAAGGGGGTTTGCACCATTGCTCTACTCTTATTTCTTTAGAGATATAGTTATTTCTTATATGTAGTGGAACTCCACCTCCTCTTTTATTAGGCCTGTTTCTTTTAAACAATTTAAATCCTTCTAGTTGTGTGTTCCATTCGTGGGTTTCATCCCCCCAAGTTTATATAATGGCAACAATATAATATCTTCCCTCATGTATTTGGATTTCCATTTCACCCTGTTTATTCCTCATACTTTGTGCGTTGATGTGTAAGTATTTGAGTGCTTTTTTATTGACCCTGTGTTTGTTTTCTACATACAGTAATCCATTTTGTGTCTGAATCCCCCTTCTTCCTTTCCGCCTATTTTGTACATACGTTTGTACCTGAAAATAGCGGTCTGCACCTTTCTGGCTTTGCAAACCGGTAGCGGTGATGATAGGGAGTGGGGATGGTTCCATGCGAGCAACAGGTGTGCACAGCTGTATTTGCACGAGCGGTGGGCTCGCAGGCACGCCGTTTGCACAAATGGAGCTTCGCGCATGGACACGCTCGCCTGCCTCTCATGCAAATGGAGCTGCCCACGTACATGTGTGCGAGCCCACTCCATGCATGGCCCGATTCTGAATGGGCTGGAGGTTGGGGACCCCTGCCTTAAGGTAGGTACATTCTGACGTTTGTGCCTTAAGAGTGTGCCAAGAGATGCATGGTGGTTGGGTATAGCACCCTAGGGCTGTGATGGTGAACCTATGGCACAGGTGGCATGCAGAGCCATTTGTGCTGGCACGTGAGCTTCAGGCAAACTTACCTCACTGCGCATGTGCGTGCCTCACAGCTGATTTTCAGCCTCCCAGAGGCCTGAGGAAGGCTTCTGCAGGCTTCTACAAGCTTTGCAGGCCGAAATCTAGCCCTGTTTTGTCACTTCCGGTATTTTCAGGAAGTGACAAAACGGGGCTAGATTTCAGCCTACAAAGCTTGTAGAAGCCTGCAGAAGCCTTCCTCAAGCCTCTGGGAGGCTGAGAAAGGCCTCAGACCACCCCAAAATCAGCTGTGAGGCACAGTGCAGGTAAGAGGCGGGGTGGGTGGGTGGGAGGGATGCGTTGGGGATGTGGGGTGGGCGCATTGCCTTCTGGGTGCTGGCACGCGAGCTCGAGTGTGCAAGCACGCGCACAGTTTTTGGCACAGGAGCCCCAAAAGGTTAGTCACCACTGCCATAAGGGGGACCTATCCTTGGGTAGTTCCCCCTTCATCCCCAGAGCGAGGGGGAGGGACAAGGGGGAAAGAGCCAGACTAGGAATGGCGAAATGCAGGTTTGGGGCCGCTTTCTGCCATGAAAGCTCTTTTGGGCAGCGGTCCCAACCTGTAGACCGTGGCCCACTCCCGGACCAATCACCACTACCGGGCCCTGAGAGTGGCTGGCCAGCGTGTGTTCACGCACACCCACACCCACTCACGCTAGTGTTGTGAGCATCGTGGCAAGCATCACATAGGTGCTAGCCTCACGGAGAGCATCATGCCGCCTCATTCACATGTGTAAAGGCCCCTGCCCGCTCCCCTCCGGCCACCAACCCAGAAAGGTTGGGGAAACTCTGCTGTAGGGGTCTGAAGGTCTTCGCTCAGTCGAGCCTATCTCTCAGGGTTCTTGTAGAAGTCAAATTGAGGCTCTCATCTGATTGCGCTTTCCCACTCTATAGTGGGGAAGATGTTGGAGTAGGAGGGAGGCAATCGAAGTTCACCAGTGTGTTATTTCACGCGTGCCACAGGTGGCATGCAGAGCCATTTGTGCTGCCACGTGAGCTTCAGGCAAACTTACCTCACTGCGCATGTGCGTGCCTCACAGCTGATTTTCAGCCCCCCCAGAGGCCTGAGGAAGGCTTCTGCAGGCTTCTACAAGCTTTGCAGGCCGAAATCTAGCCCTGTTTTGTCACTTCTGGTATTTTCAGGAAGTGACAAAACGGGGCTAGATTTCAGCCTACAAAGCTTGTAGAAGCCTGCAGAAGCCTTCCTCAAGCCTCTGGGAGGCCGAGAAAGGCCTCGAACCGGCCAAAAAATCAGCTGTGAGGCGCAGTGCAGGTAAGGGGCGGCGGGGGTGGGTGGGTGGGAGGGATGTGTTGGGGATGTGAGGTGGGCGCATTGCCTTCTGAGTGCTGGCATACACCCTGTAAGCCATCATGTTATTTCTTCAGGGGTGGGCTGCTACAGGTTCGCACAGGTTCGGGCAATCCTCTACCTAAGATTCTGCACAGTTCGGCAAACAGGTAAATCCTACCCCGTCTGGCCCCGCCCTGCCTGCCCCACCCCCCACCCAGAAGTCCCCACGTGGCCGGTTTTGGATGCCAGATAGGCTCAGGAGATAGCACGGGGCGGGGGGCTCTGGAAGGCAGGAAACAGAGGACCCCTGGAGGCCGTTTTCACCCTCTGGAGCTTGTAAAGGGTGCCAGATGGGCCACCTGGAAGGCCGTAAACAGGCCTGTTTCCAGCCTCCGGAACTTGGGGGAGGCTGTTTTTGCCCTCCCGGAGGCTCCAGGAAAGCCTCCGGAGCCTGGGGAGCGCAAAAATGCCCCCCCCCCCTGCCATGGTGCAGAAGGCCCACCATGGCAACATTCACCCAGCAACTGGGCAGAGAACCGGTTGCTGAAATTTTTTAAGCTCACCCATGGATTTCTTTGCCCAGGCAGATCATGTGAACACAGCGGTTGTCTTTTGCTAACTTGGGTTTAAGGTTTTTTTTTACCCACAGCATGTGAATCAGGTCTTGGTGTCAGGATTCCGGCAGTCACCCCCAATTAAATTATGAGTCTCCAGCCAAACTTCCAAAACTTCAAAAGGATTTATTGGGAGTTAACATGTCCGGCACTGCTTGGGTATAGCCGACTCTGAGGCACTTAATTCATTGTCACCCTTGACCCTGGTTTTCCTCCCACCCCCTGGGTGTATCATAATTCATATTCTCCAATGGGACACATCCATAGCCCAATCACGTTCTCCAAATTAGAATTTTGCGCAGCAGAAACTTCAGTCGCCTAGTTACCGTCTTTGAAAAACTATGTATGGAATGCACTTTCTATTTCCAAGCTGCCGCACTGCTCCCCCCTCTCTTTCTGTTGGCAACTCTAAAAAAAACATAGAAATATTTTATGAGTTGAAACTTTTTTTCTTTTTTTTGCTTGTCTGCAGGCAGAGGAGCTGCAAAACGACTGCATAACAGTGTCCTCTGTCACAAGGGTCTATCCAAGCCCTTTTGGGGGCTTGGCGGGACTTGCCAACCCCCCACCCCCAGCTGTTTGGGCCAGTCTTTGTCGGGAAGAGAAGGCCTTGAACAATGCCGTCGGAAATGACCTTGCAGGACAGGCCAAAGATGGCCACATCACAGGCCGAGCTAGATCACAGATCTGAGAAGAAATCAGGGAAGAAGAAGGTCTACCCAGAGGCCAAAAGGGCACCTTATCCTCTCCGGGGTTCGAGCAGCAGAAAACCTGGGGTGCAGAAGGTCCCGATCAAGGACACGCCCAGTTCCGATGTCCGGCGAGAACAATTCCGGCAGTTTGCCTACCCGGATGCTAAGGGTCCCCGAGAGGTTTGCAGCCAGCTCCACGATCTTTGCCACCAGTGGCTGAAGCCGGAGGTCCACTCCAAGGCCGAGGTGCTGGACCTGGTGATCCTCGAGCAGTTCCTGACCATCCTGCCCCCGGAGATGAAGAACTGGGTGCGGGAATGTAAGGCAGAGACCAGCTCCCAGGCGGTGGCCTTGGCCGAAGGCTTCCTGCTGAGCCAGGCGGAGGAGAAGAGGCAGCAGGTGAGAACAGGGCCTTGAGGTGGTTTGCTGGAGCATTCCCCCCCCCCCATCTCTCCTCTGCTTTCTGCTCACCGCATTTTAGGATAGGATGGAGAATGGAAATATGTGGAGTGGAATGGAATGGAATGGAATGGAATGGAATAGAATAGAATAGAATAGAATAGAATAGAATAGAATAGAATAGA